AGATAAAGTTCATTTTCTTCATCAAGATATTCATTTCAATAGTTCACTGCTACTAACAAGCAGAAATTTTTTCTCCTGATTACGGACATGCTGGCCGAAATTAGTCGAGAAATCTAATTGAAATAATAAAAAGGAAAGAATATTAATATACAACCCAGTGTGTCTGAAGATTTTAATTTTTCATTGTTCAAAACATATATATATATATATATATATATATATATATAGTTATTTATTTAAAAAAGATGATTCCTTCGCTACACAAGAGTTCTTAGGTTTCAAAACAAGAGCCGAAAACTTCAATATAATTATTTGAATTAAACTGAATTAAAGTAACAAGCTCTGTTCCATCTTCAAGCGAAATTTTTGAAGATGGAGCAGAGCTTGGTACTTTAATTCAATTTAATTCAAATATTTATATTGACGTTTTCGGTTCTGGTTTTGAAACATGAGAACTCTTATGTAGCGAAGGAATCATATTTTTAAATAAATAATTATATTTAGGCTCTACTTTTTTATCGAGCACTGTTTTTTTAAAATAATAACAAAATACTAAAGAACTTTGGATTATTTACCTAACAAGTTCTTTCCTATTTTCTATAAATTTCACACACACACACACACACACACACACACACACACACACACACACACACATATATATATATATATATATATATATATATATATATATATATATATATATATATATATATGTTTCATTAAATAATATAGACATATGTATATTTATTTTTCATCTTTTCTAGTTCGTTAATTAGCTCCTTGATGGTAAGTTGAAATTCATCAAGGAAGGCGTCGTGTTTTTTGCTAACCCAAGTACTTTCGATCATTCCCGAGATCATCCTCAGGAGTGAAATGCAAAAACATTTATGTTTAACAGTAATCGTTGTGATAGGGATTTTGCAAACACGCGTGAACGCGCTCTGCTACAATTATTTTAAAATTAACCGTTGTGTTTCCGATGTTTTGAAAACTAGCGCTCCTAATCAAAGGGCGATAACCAGAGATGGTAAAGTTGCAACTTGTTAAATTTCAAGATGGTGTCAAATTTTAATCAACTCAAATACATTTTAAAAGATTTATACTATACTCATTATAAATTTTGTTCAGTGTTGGTTGGTTGCTTTTGATATAGATAACTTCGAGAATTTGAAGTTTTCGTTTATTATTTTCATTGTTTAGTATATTGGTGTTGTTAACAAGTATTGCCAGTATTAAAATGTGGACAGGAACGTGTTTTTTAATGTTGTGTGACAAAACTCGTTTCCGACAAAATGAGTGTAAAATGCCTTGATTATGTTGTGGTCATCAAGCCAACAAGAGTACTTACTATTTTGTCAGAGATACAATCTCCCAAAGGACATTCAAACTGATATACAATGATGGTCTTTTCCAAAACACTAGTTGACGGAGAAGTTTTATTGCGTATGATAAGTTGGTTGAGATAATTTAGTATAGTATATAATTAGCTTTATTTTTTTACTGGAATAAGTGGGGAATATATTTGTACTTACGAAATGTTTTAGGATTTTTTCAACTTGTTTACAGTTAGAATGCATTTGATTACGGTAAGTTGGTTGATATGTTTAGGGTTATTTGAGAAAGTATTGTCGGAGTTACCTCCTCCTAAATCTTGACACCTCCACTTGGGGTAGTATCCAATTACTATATATTATTACGGTATAGTCGGTTGATATGTTTAGGGTTATTTGAAGAAGTATTATGTTCTCTTTTGATTTATATTAATATTTCTAATAGCTTGTCTAATTTGTTCATCAACGATTTAATTAGGAAAGTCATTATTAATGAGGGTTTGTTTATTTTTTTTTTAATTCAGTGTACACATTTTTTTTCGTGGAAGAGTTAACTTTTGCACGGTTTATTAAATTTTCTATAATATCCATTTTGAAATACTCAGAACATTCACTTTTATAGTTTATCGTGCACGTGTTTATGTGAGTCATGGGGGTGGGTAGTAAATGTATTATTATTAGAAAATAATAATAATAATAACTCTTTTCATCACTCCCGCAAATTCGAGAAAAAGATAAAATAAAAACTGTATACAAAATATTTAGATTTCGGCATTAAATAAGCCATAGAGATGTTGATATGTCGCTAAACAAAAACAACCAAACCAAAAAAGAACTTACTTATGATTCATCCCAATACATGTCTTACATGATCCCTAAAAACACGTTCATCTTGAGAAGAATCATTTTCGTAACTATGTCCGCTGAGTCTTATTTTGACAACGTTCCTGACTTGTTTAAAAAATTACGAACACTGTTACAGTTTTTTGTGTATACAGGCATGTAACTAGTGAGTTAGTCAAGATGACTTAATTCCCTTTATAGTCTACCAATAGAAGATTAACCAATCAGAAGCCGCAGAACACTGTATCCGTCGTGCGACCATCTTGTTTTTCCTACCGGAAGGACCAGAGCCAACTTGTCAGGCGAACATGACAGACAGAAGAACTACGCTATGCTACTTTGCTGGGATATCCACTGCGAACCTGCACTACGCTTTCCTACTGTCTCCGAAATATTCACTGCCAACCTCTGGATTCTATACTCGAAGACGACCGTCATGACAATGTCTAACAAACACATATTATCATGTAGTGTTATGATTTAGACATTTTAGAATTGAAGAAATATCATTGACTCTAGTTTTGTCCTGTGATTTTTCGTGTCGTATGGGGCCTTGCCTTGTCACGGTGTACGCTACCAATTGTATGTTAGTGTAATCTAGATTGATTCTGACTGCTATGTATGATGAATCATTTATCATTAGAATTGGTTCCAAAAAAAAAAACAAATTACTTGAATCAGGTTTTTATTAGAAAACATTTTCCCCATCAAAGCATTTTGCTGCAATCGAAAGGGATAAGGATCGGTTGCTTGCAATGTCAGGTTAATATGACGTATTGGTTCGGACAGACCAACCGAGTTCCAAAATTGTTATTGTGTTGTCCTTGCTTTGTGCGGCTTTGCGTTGCTATGAAAGAGAACAATTTTTTTTAATTTTTCTTTTAATCCACTGTGTACGCTGCCACTGCTGTGCAAAAACTAAGGTATGTTAGCATACGTCAAATTTATTCTTAGCCAACACATGTGATTTGGAGTTAGGATAATAGATTTCTCATTATAATTGGTTCCCAATTGAAAATTACTAATCACCCAACTTTTATATATAATTTTGATTTGTTCATTGTGTGTTTATCATGCCAGAAAATGTTTTGAGTCTGTTTCATTTTTTATTTTTTTTATTTTTTTATTTTTTTATACTGACACAAGTCTTGCTAATTAACCTATAGCTGCGGGGGGAAGAGTCGGATGCTTGAACACTTGAATCAGGTTTTTATAAAATTAAATTTTCCCTATCAAGATGTTTTTCTGCGATCAGAACAGATAATAATCGATTGCTGCAAGGTCAGGTGAATATGGTGTGTGGAGTCGAACAGACCAACCGAATTCCAAAATTGTTATTGTGTTGTCCTTGCTATATGCGATCTTCCGTTGTCATGAAGGAGAACAATATTTTTCCTTTAATACACTGTGTACGGTGCAATTACCGTGTAAAAACTAAGATAGTTTTTTTTCTTAACAGCAATGTATGATTAAATGTTACGGTGATGCATTCGTTTTTACAACTTTTAAAAAAATAATCTCCATTTTCCCTTTCTCCTATCTTCCAGAAGTCACAATTTTGTCATGAAATAGCAAATAAAGTAGCCAAGCAAAAATTTGTCAAGAAACAATTCAGGACAAAAAAATAAATAAATAAATAAAAATAAAAAAAGGGAACTTGGAAAGTGAATTAAGACAAAATCAACCAATCAAGAGATAACATTAGGAGTTATGAACTGCGTGCGCCCACAATAAATGGAGATCTCAATTCCTCTTTTCGCTGTTTAGTTGGCCAGCGACAGGCCCGAGATTAGATCTGAGTTTTACAATGAGGAGTTTTACACAAGCTAATGTCAGCTCAGAAAATATTTCTAGATTGGTACAGGCACAGGATAGTAATGGGTTGAGGAAAAGCCGAGTTCGAATTCCAGTTGAGTTCATTACATTCAGTTACTCGTTAATACCCTTGGGAAAGGTATGAATCCAACCCTTCTCCCCCTCTCAGCTATGGGTAAATACTAGGGACAGACTTGGTTCTTTAGCCTTTGATGGCAACCTGTCTAGGAGAAGGAAAACTGTATGTAGCCATGGCAAAGCACCTACTATGCAGCTAAGGAAAGGATCGTTCACATTAACTCAATAATCGATACTATTCACTTACGAGCTAATACCCTTGGGAAAGGTATGAATCCAACCCTTCTCCCCCTCTCAGCTATGGGTAAATAGTCGGACAGACAGGGTTCTATAGCCTTGGGTGGCATCTAGTCTAGGAGAAGGAAAACCTCTGAATTGAAAACTGTATGTATCCCTGGTAAAGCACATAATATGCAGCTAAGGATCGTTCGTATCGACTCGATGATCCCAACTACATTTTTTTTTAATGTTCCCTATACTCAAGACGCTAGAGGCCCTCTGGTGGCGGCCACCGTCAGGCCACCGGCGGGCCTCTAACGGTCCGCCAGTGGTAATATTGCCGAGACGAACACGCTGGCGGTCCGACAGTGGCCCACCGGCGGTAAACGCTAGTGGCCTGCCACCCAGTGGCGGATTGGGTGTAGGGTTAGTGGTGTAACAAATCAAAAGTTGTTAAAAAAAAAAAATATAACAATCTACAATCAGGGAATTTATTTAAGTTACAAGCAACAGATATAAAGGTCAGGAAAATCGGAAATCAGTTCCCGGAACGTTCAGGTACATTAGTTCTGATTAAAAACCGGAGCCATTTAAGAAGTGTTGTAGTCTATCTTTAAAAAAAAAACTCTCAAACTTGAATAGCAAACTTGCAGCCAAACCAATAAAAAAAAATCGGAAAAAAAAAGAAAACTTTCAAAAACCGCCATTTTGTTATCGGCTGCTCCAACGTTTATAACCTCGGTGTATATCAATTTCGTCTTTGAAAGCCAGCAACCCTAACTGGGCATGTGAGGCTTCGTTTAATGCCTTAGACTGGATACAGCTTCGATACTGTTTGGGCTTTAAATTAGGGTCGCATGTCTTCTCGTGGTAAAGATGAAATATTCCCGGATCTGTGGCCCTGACCACAAGATACTCACTTCGCACGTACTTCTGGTAGAGAAGCACATCTTCTCCTCCCCACCCTGTGATTTGTTCGTCAAAGCCTTTGATATTGAGGAAGTCAGATTTGTACTGGCAGGTCATTCCGTAACCAAAATCCCTCCAGAATCCAGTATCCCGGGAAATCACCAACTGGTCTTTCTCTGGAGGAATCAGCATATCATGTAACGAGTAGACCACATTCGGATTATAGAGGCTGAAAACAATTGGATAATAAACTCTTTTTTGGGGAGCTGCATTTAGTCGGCACCTCTCCAGGAAATCTGTTCCAAAAACAATATCAACATCGCAGAAAAACATAAGAGGATCACCATTCCGCCAATTCAAGGTGCCAACTTGCAATCCCTGACCGCGGGAGAATTTTTCTTTCAGGCTAATCAGTTTAATGTATTTGAATCTATACGTTTTCGCCGTTGAAGTCAAGATGTCTTTTACGGTGGTCAAACCTTCCTTACCAAAGTAAACCACTGTCAGAAAAACGCGTTTGTCTTGGAGGATGCACACGCGAACGAAGCGTTCCATAAATGTTCGGAAAGTGTCCGTGCGGCCGGACAAAGGCAGAATCAAATTGATCCATTCTTTGTTCGTGTTTATCCAATTTTTAGTGATAAGCTGTAGAGGACCAAACGGTCTCATGACAGTCAGTTTTGAGTAATAATTTTTCATCCCCGGGCGATCAATATCCCGAAAGTAAAGCTCATAATGGGACCCTGTTGTGGGGTCAATCCGATAGATCCCTTCTACAAAGTCGTCAGCGGCGTACTTGTCCTTTTCGCTGCGTTCTCGGTTCAACTGGTCCACAGCAAACTGGACCACTTCAGACAGATCTTTCTTCTTGAAACCAATGGGCTTTTCGACCACTCTTTTCCCGAGCCCTGGCTCAACCAGAAAGATTCTGCCAGTCGAGAATCGAGTAAAAGGGATCAACTCGTATTCGGACTTTAACGTCACTCCGTGTAGAATTTCGGCGGACTTGAATTGCTCCTGAAAGAAGCGCGTATAGTTGATGTTATCCACTTGTCGCGGTTGGTCACTGATCAAAATCTGTTCCCCCATGTTGACCGATAAGGGCGTGGTCGCTTTGCTCTCGGCGGGCTCCGCGGGTTTAGCCGTGGTCGTCGTTGTAGACCTCATGGATAAATTTTGAGCCTTTTGATAAGCGCCCTTCAGGGCTGCCTCAAGGAAACGAATTTGTTTTCGAAGTTTGGCCATTTCTCGGGTTTGTTTCTCGTTGACATCACGTAGTCGCTTGTGGTCCAAAACAGCCATGTCGTTTGAGGTTAATGCCTGAGCAGCTGCGGCAGCTGCTGCGGCCTGCTGGTGAAAGTAATGGTCAATATTCAGACCACAGCGGGCAATCAACATTAGCGTCATTACACTGAGGGAGAAGAGAATAAGTAATATGCGTGGCATCGTTTTCATGTTTAAACGACAGCATAGCCGGGGTGAAAACACAACTGGAATAGACAGGATCTGAAATAAAGAAAAAAGAAAGAAAAATTAAACAAAACCAAACAAAAATGCCTTTTTATCATACGAAGCATCATTTCTTTCGGAATAAGAGCGAACCTAATAACTGGGGAGGGGGTCTTAATATGGCTTCTTTTAATTTCTTCATAATTCATAAATTGAAAAACGAAATAAGGGAAATATTAGAAAGAAAAAAAATGTACTCTTAGGTGCCTAATACATGTCGGGGACGTTTATTTTTGTAGTGGGGTGATTTTCCAACTCCGGAGAGTTAGTTAAGACCACTCATTTTTTTTTTTTTTTTTTTTTTTGCAATTTTTCTCAGGAGCTCAAAGAAAATGACTTTTTTTTATCATACGAAAAATGCGAGCATATATTGTTTCATAAAATTGTTCATAATTCATAAATGGAAAAACCAAAAAAATAAAATATTAGAAAGAAAAAAATGTACCCTTAGGTGCCTAATACATGTCGGGGACGTTTATTTTTGTAGTGGGGTGATTTTCCAACTCCAGAGAGTTAGTTAAGACCACTCATTTTTTTTTTTTTTTTTTTTTTTTAATTTTGCAATTTTTCTCAGGAGCTCAAAGAAAATGACTTTTTTTTATCATACGAAAAATGCAAACATATTGTTTCATAAAATTGTTCATAATTCATAAATGGAAAAAAGAAAATATTAGAAAGAAAAAAAATGTACACTTAGGTGCTTAATAGATGTAAGGGACATTTATTTATTTATTTTTTTATTATTTTTGTGGGCGTGGTCAATTTTCCGACCCCAGAGAGCTAATTAAGACCCCTCCGTTTAATATAATATAATATAATATTAATGTTGCAATTTTTCCCCAGAACTCAAATAGGAAACAGTAATTATTATAGATGGTTCTATTCTTTTTATTTGCAAATGTTTATGACATACACGATTTTAGATTACGATCACCAGTCCTGTAACCAAATAGGGTCGTAGGGGCACTACACGCATTGAAGTCGCAGTAGAAGCGGTATGTTTGGGGCAAGATAGCTCGACGGAGTTCAACCCTCTCCTCTCCAGGTTTGAATTCAAAGTTTTTCCTTCTTCTAGACCGGTTGCCTCCCAAGGTTATAAAACCCAGTCTCCCCACCCCAGCTATTTACCCATAGCTTGGGCGGGGGGAGAAGAGATAGATTCATACATTTCCCATGTGTATTAGCACGAAAATGAATGTAATGAATCCACCAAAAATTCTATTCTATTGCATTGTTTAAAAAATAGTGTTCCCTAGTTTTGTCTTTTATTCTTTCCAAAATTACTACGATCCGTTCTTTGATAAACTTAATTCTTTCTTATCTTTATTCCAGAATTACCAGATTCCAGTCTTGGATAAAATTAAAGTATTTTTTATGTTCTTTGAAACATGGCACAGAGGAAACAGAAAGTTAATACGATGAAGAGGACATTTCGAAAGTGTGATACTTGAATACGTTTGAATAACTTATATTGGAATAACCTTTATTTGGTTTGAATTTGGGTACCTCGATGTGGTGTCTGGGTACCTCGATGAGGTGTAATGGTTAGCAAGCTTGTCTCGCTAGCATACTTACGTTTGAATAGTGAGTTCGAGCCTCACTGGGTGCCCCATACTTTCGGCCTTCTGCCACATCTAAGCTACGCTTAGAAAATCACCATACCTGGGCACCTCGAGGCGGTGTAATGGTTAGCAAGCTTGTCTCTCTAGAACATCTACTACTGTGTAGTGAGTTCGATCCTCACGGGGTCCCACCTACTTTCGGCTTTGTGCCGCATCTAATCTACGCTTGGAAAATCACTATTTGGTTTGAATATGTTGTATAAACAATTTTTTTTCCGCTTTTTGATAAGTTGATTGAACTTTCAATCTTTGTGTGACTTAGGTAAGTCAATGTTTTATTTGTACGAGGGTAGGAATGCAAAAAGCGATTATCTCCCTTTCGCTGAGATAAAAATGACAAGGGTCATATGACGGCCGGTGAGTGACGTCAAGGGATAGAGTGACGAAGGGCAGTTTGCGATGTAAAGCCTGGAGAAGAAGGACGTTCCTAGCCCACAGCGATATAGGTCTTACGGGGAAAAAACAAAACCACACCAGGCTTATAGAGAAACCGCCGTAACTTCAGCTTTTCCTTCCGCAACTATTAGTAAGGCTCTCCCTTTTATTTTACACATTGTTGTTGCATACATGTTATAATTTCAATGCGTGGGATAGGTTTTCTTCTCATGCTATCATAGGTAACTCTATGACATCGCTAAAAACAGAGCATAGCATGATGAAAAAGACGCCAAAGTTGATGAAAACAAAATTTTAGCGTCTAAATGCTTATGTTATTATTGAGAGGAAAGATCAAAGTATTTTTTACTTATTTTTAAAATTTTTTCATTCTTTTTTAGAACATTGTAAATTTTGATTAAAAAAACCTTGTTTCTCTTTTTATCAGCTTGGCTGATAAAATAACATAAAAATTTTCGCGCGTTTTTTTCCTGTTTGACACATTAATTTGGAAAATCTTGCAAAAATAAAAATAATTGTCGGATTTTAATGAAACTTTCTGAAACTATTCACAAATGATGGAACTTATTAGAAATATTTTTTTTTTTTTTTAGTAATGTCATCGCAGAATTTTTTTTTTTTTTTTTTCATAAAACGTATAAGCAATCCCAGGGATGAAGTTGTGTATTGCATTAGTGATTCTGAAAAAACAAAAGCGTTTCTTTACTTAAATTTTAAATGATTGACTACTTCAATGATTTTCCGACTTCCTTTTTATCAAGCCACCTCGTTTATTGTATATTGAGGAAAAAATCATATTTTTAAATATGAGTTGTTTTTACAGTAAGTATTGTTATTTCAACTTTCATCAAAGAGAAAATTTTTTTAATGTTGAAATCAACTGCAATGTTTTATAGCCTGAATCGACCTCGGGTAGTCTAGTATTTTTTTTTAAACTGTCTCATTGCTCACATGTTCAGTCCATGGCATTCTTAACATCCTTTTGTAGAACCACATCTCTGTTGCTTCAAATCTTCTCTTCATCTGTGAGGGAATTGTCTAGTATTCGCTGCCGAACGGGAGGATTGATATTACATAACAGTTCAGCAATGAAAGCCATTTTCCCATCATCGGTTGCTTAATACCAATCCTATTGTGGAAACATTGACTCGCATCTGACATCATCTTCTCTTCTATGTGCCATGTCCCTTTAAGAGATGGCTCTCCCCGTTTTCCTATCCTTTGTAGCTCTTAGTAAGATTTGTCTTTTCACTATCCCTCCCATTCCAGATTCTGCCATCCATTTACACCATCTTGTTAGGTATGTTGATCATGGCTCTCCACGACTTCCTATCTTTTGTAACTCTTAGTAAGGTTTGTCTTTTTACTGTCCCTCCCATTCCAGATTCTGCCATCCATTTACACAATCTTGTTAGGTATGTTATCTGCTGTTTCTGCATGTCTCTTTTGCCTTCACTATGTCCTGTGAGTGTCAAATTCCCCAAGCCTCCTTTCCTCATTATGTTCCCTAAAAAAATTCGACCATCAGTTTCAGATTGTTAGTTAAAGTTTCATTTCATTTCCAATTTTCTTAAGACTCCCTTGTTGCTTACATATTCTGTGTTCACAGCATCCTACTGTAGAAACAAATCTCTATTGCTTCAAATCTTCTCTTCATCTGCGAGGAAATTGTCCAGTATTCACTGTTGAACAAGAGGATTGATATTACACAGCAATTTAGCAATGAATGCCATTTTCCCATCATTGGTTGAATAACAGTCTGATATCACTTTCTCTTCCATGTGCCATGTCCCTTTAGGGCGTGGGCGATCATGGCTCTCCATAACTTCCTATCCTTTGTAGCTTTTAGTAAGGTTTGTTCTTTCACTCTCTCTACCATGCTGGGTTCTGCCATCCATTTACAAAATCTTGTTTGGTTGGTTACTTACTGTTTCCCCTCTACTTAAGGTTTGCTTTCAATATGCCCTGAGTGTCAAATTCCCCAAGCCTTCTTTCCTCGTTGTGTGTCCTAGAAATTACAACTCTTTTTCTGATACTAAGTGCAAGTTCTCTTTTTGGTTCCCATTTTCGTTAGAACTTCCACGATAGTATTTAAAAAGATAACATCTGACACGTGATATATCCTCATAAATCACACAACAGATGTCAGACAAATCCACTCCTCAAATTTCAAGACAAGAGTTGTTCATAAAAGACGTTTAGTGACCTTTGCCCTTGACTTCTTTTTCCATTTTTTTTGGGGGGGGGGTGTTTAATCGTGAAAGCAAATAAACAACTTGGTTTTCCATTTTCTATTAATTCTGGGCAGAAGCAGAGGGCACTGGTCATACTACTGGCTTGCTTAGATGTAAGCCTGGCGGGAAGACATTAAGATGTTTTTGCCTTTTTTTTTTAAGCATTACACCCCGAGCAAGGCGTGAAGCCACTAGGATGCAGGGGGTTGCAGAAGATTTGGAACGAGAGCAGATAGGAGTGATAGAGGAAAGGATGGGGAGAAGGATAGTGGGTAGATCAAGGTAACTGGAGGTGTCGATTGACATTACATTTGAATAGTTGGAGATTATAGCTCTCAGGGAAACAGTAATAGGGAAGGGTGTTCCACAGGCGAGAGGTGCGAGGTATGAAGCTATTGGAGTAGAAGAGACGGCTACATTTAAAAGTTTCTACAGTGTAAGGGTGGGAGCGGGATGCCCGCCTCGTAGGGCGCTTGAATTCATAAATTTGCAATACAAAAAAACATGATAAAAGGTTAGCAATTTTCTTTCCTCATTTCATTCTTTCTTTCTTTCTTTCTTTCTTCTTCTTCTTCTTCTATGTGACGTGTACCTTCAGAACACCGGCGATCATGCCTCTCCACAACTTCCTATCCCTTATTGTCCTTAAAAGTGTCCTCCCCGCCACCCGTTCCGCTGCCCACTC